CCCCAAAACCCCAAAACCCCAAAACCCCAAAACCCCTTGCTCAGATTGTGAAGTTGAATACCTAAAAAGATTGGTCCAAATTCTTCTTTTTGAATTTCTTCCTGACCTTCTTCTGCTTGGCTTTTGGCGCATTTTGTTTCTTCAAAGCTTCATTGATGATGTTCTCTTTTTCAGAGAGATTCATTTCTTTCCTATTCTTTCAAGCGTAGTCTTGTCTTAATCTTCTGGCTCAGCATTTCTCCTTCTTTTGTTTATTAGCACTAAACTTCAGGTTTTTTTTTGGATTAAACAGGCTACTCTTGTAGTCCTTCTTAGCATCTTTAGTCCTAGGAATTTTTCGCATGACAGGACTTTTAAACTCTTCCTTAGTTTCAAGAGGATTAGGAGGCAAAGGGAGGCCTTCATTAGACTCTGGAGGACTCAAGCCTTTATCATATTTGCTACTAGGGGTACATTCAATGTTAACATCACATCGAGAATTTGTATCTTCATTCTTCAACTTTTCCATTGTGCCTTTAGCATCAAAATGGTCTTCATTAGAAAGCCCGATTATTCTGCTAAGCATCTTCCTAGGGATTTTCTCACTATATTCGTGGCTGATCTTGATCCCACCCTGGCCATTGATCAAGAAAGGGTTGAACTCGTCCTTCGCCAATGATTTGATGATATCGGCCTCTTCTTTAGATCTTTTCATAACTTGCTCTGAATAAAGTCTTGGCTCCTTAGCTTGTACATCTTTGAAGTGTAGGGAGCAGTCTTTTTCGTCCGAGCTTCACAAATCGTTAGCATAGCGTGAGCTACTCTTTGATTTCTTGATCATCACAGGCTCAAAGTTGCTGATCTGGCTCCTCTGAGTATGAGGGATCTCAGAAATCTTCCCCATAGGCGCCTTGGCATACTTTTCGATTCCATTATCTTTCTTGTCAAGGGTGAACTGATTTTGAGACATTTGGTTTGAAGAGAGTCTCTCTCGTTCAAAGAAGCTTGCTGCCTTCCTAAGTCCGCTCTCGCTTACCTTAAACATAGAACAATTATTCTTAATGTTCAAGAATTCAGAATTATTGTTTTTGGATAAAAAGTCTCTCTTCTTAATCTTGTTATTCCCATTTCTGATGTGCTTCTTGGCATATGATAGGACCAGGCTCTTCTTATTTGAGCCAAAATGATTCAAATTCGTCTTTTTAGCAGCACTGTTTCGAAAGACTAGAGGAGAGGTAGAGTTATGATTGCTTTCTCTTAAAACCTCATTCTCTCTCCTGAATTTAGATAATTTAGCTGCATTTGAATGGTTGCATTCAAAACTAGGATGCTTTACAAAGTTGCCAAAGTCTTCAAGTGTGTCCTTACTAATCCTTGTATCAACAGATTTTCCACGGACCTCTTTAGCAATCTCCTCATCGGTGATGGTCTTACCCCTGGTAAAAATGGAGCCAGATTCTTGAATTTGAATATTCTCATCAAAAAGGAGAACTTTTGTATAGAAATCCTGGGTGAAATCTTCAATAGCATTGAGCCTCTGTTGGTTGCGCTTCAAAGTGCACAATACCTTCTGATAGTCCATGTCATGAGTTTTGTCTGCTTTCTTCAAGTCGATGTAGACTTCGAACAATCTATCAAGCCTCTTCTTGCGCTTGTATTTCTCTTTCTCAATATTTGTTTTCTCTAGTTCACAGTGGTCTTTCAGCTCAGAAATCAAGGCCTGGCGCTTTTTACTTAGAGCCATGGAAATGTTGTCAAAACAGATGTTTATGTTGGTAATCTGTTCATGGAGGTTCTCCTCCAAACGTTTGCCCACCTAGATGAAGCATTAGAGGTCCTAGAAACGAAATGAGAAAGATATGGACTTGAGATTACCTTGTTGAGTGTATCACCCCATACTTTGCACTTCTTGTACTCATCTGTAGATTTATTTGTACACTAATTTGAACTCTTTACGGAGAGAGTCAAGGTCTGAGTTATCATTGGGCAGCTGCAAAGCCTTGTCTTTGAACATCTGCCCGAACTCTTTACTCTCCTTTACTCCTGGCAAATGCTGAAGAATAGCGAAACAAATTGGAAGATTTTTGATGACAATTTTATGCACCGATTTATCACTAGGGCAGACAATAATTTTCTCTTCATGTGAAGCTGCAGAGTTTGGCACTGCTCTGCTCGCCTCAGGACTATACTGTGCAAGCTTATGTACACACTCTCTGCAAAAGACATGCCCTCAAGGGAGAGAGATCGGCCTCCTGCCTAGTTCATTATACTTGTATCATCAAATTGAGCAGTTGAAAATTGAGTTATCCATCATGAAAATTTCTGGTATTTATTCAATTATTTGTAAATTCCAAGGGGTTTTGGGGTTTTGGGGTTTTGGGGTTTTGGGG